TAGTCACCGCACTACCCAGACAGCAAACTGACATTGAATCAACGTGGAAACGACGTCTCTCATGACATTGAAACAACGTTGATTTGCTCATCGAATTAACGTTGAACCAACGTCAGACGCGGCATTCTTCAAAGCTAAATAAAATCGAAAATTGGTTTGCTTTCATATTGTTGAAACAACGCGTTGATTTCAAGTTGATTTTCCGTTAGTTTTGAAAGAATGACGCGTCTGACGTTGGTTCAACGTTAATTCGATGAGCAAAACAATGTCAGATCAACGTTGTTTCGATGTCATATTTCTACGTTGATTCAATGTCAGTCTGCTATCTGGGTATAATTGTTCTTCATGTGCAAAGTAACTAATATTTAAAACTATTAAAAGAAAATGCTGAATAAACTATTGCATACATAGTTAATGTATAATACACTGTCCATCAATATGTTTTCCCTTTGTTCTTTGAACTTTTCAATGCGGATTCGACACGCTGTGACTCATGTTGCTTCAAGCACATCATTCTGCGCTCGAGATGGAGCCTTTCACCTCATAATATTTTTGCACAATGAAATATTATTCATAGCATTTCTTGTACTGTCCTATCATATGTTACTGCCTCATTAAACAGCTGCGCTATAAATATTTAAAAAATCTTACTTTTATATCCTAAACGTTTTTTTTTTTATCTTTTTGATTTTTCTTATCTTATTTATCATGAATGTATTTTACTTCAATACAAAGATCAATGTGTAACGGTTTACCTGCTTTAGTACACTTATAGTCTGTTGTTTGTTCCCCACTAAATATATATATATATATATATATATATATATATATATATTTTACTAAATGTTCAGATTTTATAAAATTATTGTGCACTCGTGATTTTTCTAGAGTAGATTTTACTGCAGAATTATCCACTAATCTAGTTTATAATAGCAGTTTTGCTATAGAGTATGATCATATATTTTTGTAGTTGTTAAAGTTGTCTATATTACATAGATTGTGTGTTGAACTGATAATCACTCTTCTGTGTGTTAAACACAGGGTGATAAAATACTTATTACTTCATACTTCTACTTAATAAAATAAAGAATTGCACTGGTATCAGACCGGTATCAGTCGATACTCAGAAATTTTTATATCAGATCGGATCGGTTCCCGAAAAAAATTGTAGCAGTGTATCCCTATCCTTTATCACGCTTAAAGGGCGACCTGTGGGCGATGGGATTGCAGGGGGCAGCTCGTCAGACTCTGCTACCAAGACAAGTGGCTTAGTAAAATGTTGGTGAACCATATTAATCAGACCTGCAAACTTTTCGGCGATAATTGCCGTTTTGGGTCATTTAAGTGAATCACATAGAACCGGAGAGTATTTTATTTGGGGGGTTGGGGTTTTCATTTCTTGTCCTCAAAACAGAGCACTAATCTGTTTATTTTTAAGTGTTTATGGTATTATTTTATACAGAATTATTTATAATTCTGATGAGAATACAGTTCCTCATCAACACAGAACGTTTAGGGAACGTTTAGGGAACGTTAGAGAACGTTAGTTTATGGTTCTCTAAAGGTAAGTTTGAACCAAACCAAAAACTAACGTTTAGGGAACGTTCCCTCAGGGTTATAAAGTTCCCTAAATGTTAAGGGAACCAACCAACTAAAACGTTCTCCTGTGGTTGCACTATACCTCTACACAACATTCCCGTTTGGTTGTTCCGAGTGCGGTTTTGAAATGTTTATAAACCAGCTCCATCAAATCCATTTAAACATTTTAAACCACCACTGTTTGTGAGTTTTACGTAGGATTAAACAAATAATAATAGTTATAAATATTTTTATAATGGTAATAAAAAATATTTTTTATAGTTTTCTGCTATCACTGTTAGAATAACTTACATTCATTCATTTACCGTTGGCATTCCTGTACCATCGAGCAAATAAGGATGTGTAATGTCACACACTGTAGCATTATACATTATACATTTGCAACAGTACATTTAAATAACAAACTCCATGTATAATATTTAAGGAAAGAAGCAAAGAGATAAAAAAAACCAGGGAATGTGAAGATGACGTCACGCCGTGTTGCATTATATGTCCACCATATTTACAGTATCGCACCCAATACTGTTGTATTTAAATGCTGGAGGCTGTGTTTGGATTTTCTGTCGAGATTTTAATAAACGTCAGTTCAACTGCCATAGCAGGTCACACGATCGTCCAGGGAGGAAACTGAACAACGGAATACATTTTTTCACCTTTATTTCTTGGAAAAAACAACAAGGGAAGCAAGTCGAGGAGCTGACGAGAAGACGCCGCAATCACGAAAAAGTAAGTGAAATACGTTAAAGTTTCATGATGTTGTGGTTGTAATGCAAGTGTTTGGGGTTTAACCTTAAAGGACAACTCCGGCGCAAAATGAACCTTTGGTCGATTTCGTTTTACTTATACTATGGCCCATTCGCCTTATTCACTTGGCGGCCATTTTGAAAATGGAACGCCGCTGAGGGGTACACTCACCCGGAAGGATGCATGCGACGCAGCAGCACCAGCAATGAAAACTCGCAGTGCGGACCACCAATCATTCCTGTCTGCCCGAATTAACGATGCAAAATGTGAAGCAAAGTGTCAGTGACTGAAACATCCCCCGGGCTGTGTTAATTAAGGGATACAGTACCTGTATCGAGGTTTTATCCACGACATTGAACGTAAGAATGGACGCCAATTTACCTCAGTTTCTGCAAGCTTGTAGGAAGTTGACTGTGTACTATTAGAATCTATACAAATCCATAACCATCATTATTTTTATTCTTTATGAATCTATACATATATGTGAACTTGTATTGTCACCATAGCAGCTTATCATTGTCAGTGTGTAACAGGATCAGTCCCTGTCAGACCTTAAAATCACTTCTCCTCTTTCCTTTTACATGTGAGTGATTTGATTGTTTTACATGCATGTGTGTGTATGTAAGCTACTGGATGTGTATCTATCTAAACAATAAAGTACAATTGTATTACACATGGATGATTTCCTTCATAACTTTATAATTTAATATACCGGAACCAGAACAAGTATAAGAAAACATAAAAAAACATTAATAGGCACACTGGTAAAGGTTTGTAAAAGTAACTTTGTATATAGAAGTTGGTACAGGGGAATAATGTAAAATGGCCTGCCTGTACTGTAAGCTTGGAAAAGGAACCAGAACATCAGAAAACAATTCAAATCAACTGGCCGTTCAAAAAACAATGATAGGCAGAATAGTCTAGGTTTGTAAAGGTAACCTTGTACATAGAAGTATGGAAAAACAACCGGAAAAGCTCAGAACATTGGAAATTGCATTAGGAACAAACCATTTAAAAACATTAACAAAAGAGAACTAAATACATAAACAGATTATCAGTGATGTTTTGCTCGTTGTTGGGGGGACAGATGTGTAGCCCATCTTGGCAAAGTGAGCGAGAGTGTAGAGCAGCCTGATGAGATGGTTGCACTGTCCCAAGCCAGCTTTGCAGTTGCACTGCATCTCCCTTATAAATGACTGCTCAAGTGACAGCTCCACCTAAAAACATAATCAAACTTTAGATACTTGACACTTCAGAGTTGCTATTAACAAATATATGATATATAAATATATGATATATATATATATATATATATATATATATATATATATATATATATTAGGGGTGGCACGGTTCACAAAACCCACGGTTCGGTTTGTATCACGGTTTTAGGGTCACGGTTTTCGGTTCTGTACGGTTCTTGTTATTTTTTCTTTTAATCTTTAACACTCCAGAAATGTACTTCAGCATGTGATATATAGCTTAATTATCCACACTTTAGGATACAGTATTAAAAAAATATATATTATATTCATGCAATCATGCACAAACTGAATTTGACTCTTTGACTTTAAGCACATTTTGGGACTATCTCAGAGGAAAGCTAGGTGAGATTTAGATACAGCAAGAGAGAAGAAATTGACATGCTTTTTGTTTATTTGGCAAAAAAAAAGAGAATGTGTATCACTATCTCTACAAGAACTTGTGCATTTTTATCACATAAATCTTATTTACACAAAGAAATTAACTTTCATGTATCAACTGCTAACTTTTGTAGCTCTTACCAAAATTCTATCTTTTAAAAGAAAAAGAGAGGAACTCTTAAAACACTGTCTTTTAAATGTCAATATACATGAAACCTCATTGCCTATAGATAATTAAGCTATAGCAATAGCAAAGGCCATAAACATAAAGTGAAATTGAAGTTCAACCTCAACACAAAAACAGTATCAACAATGCTTCTATTCCCAAAATGTGAGGGTACTTTTTTCCACTTAAAATTAAAGTGCAGGGTTTGGAAACGTATGACCGAAGCTCTTATCTATACATAAAGTGCCACTGTAGTTAAATTAAAATATCATAACATAAAATCCAAAATGTTCCCACACACTGGACTTATACCATAGACCAGGGATGGGCAACTTTGATGATAGTAAGGGCCACAAATATTTTTTGTCACTATCCGAGGGCCAAATGTGACGTGCACTTCCACCAATGGGATATTGGAGAATTAGAGGGTACCATTTTATTAGAAAACATATGTAGGTATGTCTTTATTACAGACTCTGCTAAATAAATCAACCTGCATATCCATATTCAATTATTTCTTCTTTTAATGAATGAACTTTTAACATAAACAAAGACATTACTGTGGCATTACTGTGTTTTTAATATTATTCCAGTCAAGTGCAAACATGTTGGGCTCTCAAAAAATATACAATTATTGCACAAAACTGAAAAGTAGCCTATTAAGTAAATAAAAAACTACCATTTTAAAGGGACCAAACATATGTCTTTATTACAGACTCTGAAATGTTTAGTGAACCAACCTGCATTTCCATACTCAATTATTTTTTTCTGCTTCTATTCATTGATGAACTTTTAACAAACTTTTTAAAATTATTTTTTATTATTCCAGTGTAAACATTGTGGGCTCTTAAAAAAAAAACATTTACTGATGGCACAGAACTAAAAGTATTAAGTGAAGCATACTTTTCACAATAAGCTGCCGCTTTATCTCACCTGCAGGGGTTAAGTTTACAGTTAATGAGATACTTGTGGTTTCTCTTGCTGGCGTGCAATAGACTGGATGTCAATATCAATGTTAGTGCAGCCAATCCTCATGAGCTGAAACAGAACATCATCGCTGATCCTGTTTCTCTCTTTCGACTTGATATGTTTCATCGTGGAGAAACTGCTCTCGCAAATGTACGTGCTCCCAAACATGCTGGCCATTGACAGTGCAAAATCCCTGAGAAGTGGAAAGCGGGGCTCTGGTAGTAACCTCCAAAATGAAACTCCCTTCTCACTGCGCTTTGCTTGAAAAAACGGGTCTGACTGAAGTTCGCAGAGTTCAAGCTGCAACTCGGAGGGTTGCTCGCTGACGGCAGCAGAGAGGGGGTCAGTAAATAACGCTATTCGCGGCTGCATGGCGTGGAAATCATGGAAGCGGCACTTAAACTGCTGCTGCAGTGTTTCGATGTCGGCTCTGTATTTGTGAAAAATGTTACCGCATTCAGGGACATCTCTCCGCATTTCTTCACAAGAGGGAAAGTGTGCCAAATTTTGACGATTGGGCGAAAATCCTTCTTTGAAAAGCTCTAATTTAGACTGAAATGCATTCATGTGTGCATAAAGGTTGGATACAGTTTGGCCTCGCCCCTGTAACTGTGTGTTCAGGTGATTGAGGTGTGCAGTAACGTCCGTAAGGAAGGCCATATCGCAAAGGAATTCTGTGTCTCTGAGTTTTCGGGTGTAGGCACTTGTATCGCCTCGAACACTGTCCTCCAAAAACACAGGAATTTCGGCGCGCAAAGCAAAAAAACGCTCAAGACACTTTCCTCGGCTCATCCACCTAACCTCGGTGTGCATTTGTAAATCCCCATATGCCGCGTTCACTTCATCCAAAAAAGCTACAAACCTCCTGTGACTCAGAGACCTATTCCCTCCTCGGATGAGATTTGTAACTTTTGTCACCAGATCCATAACGTGACTGAAGTTAAGTGTCTTAGCACAGAGAGCCTCCTGTAAAATTAAAAAAAAGATTGATTCAGCGCTAAAATCTATATATCCTGTCATATTAATCTCATAAGGCCACCAATATTCATAATCATAAAAAGTGAGCTGAATAAAAAACAATTCACCTGATGGATGATGCAGTGCAGTATAGGACAGTCCACCCCACTCTGTTGGAGGAGCCGGCGAAACCATTGTGTTTTCCTGCATCGCAGGTGCACCATCAGTAACGACGGCTGACAGCTTCTCAAAGCCACCATACTCATTCACAACACTGTTAACAGCGTTGAAAATATCCGTCCCTTTAGTAGTGTTGTGCAACGACACCAATTTTAAAAGTTCTTCGTGTACAACAAATGAACTGTCAATCGTTCTAGTGAAAATCAGTAGCTGGCTAATATCCATCACATCCGTGCTCTCATCCAAAGCTAATGAGAAGTATTTGCAGTCGTGCATGACTTGTTTCAATTTACCATCGACGTGATCAGGGCCGTATTAAGAGCTCACTGGGCCCCGGGGCTATGAGTTACTGCAGGGCCCCCCCACCACTTTAGGTCACCAACTACATGAGCTAAATGTTATATTATTATAGCCTACGAGTCATTTTATCCATCTATGATATACTTCACAGTTAAGTTATGTTACTTTTAACATGATTTTTTTATCATATCAAAATGTATTGACTAAAATTTCATAATTATTGTGACCAATTTCAATATCACCAAAAAATAATAGGCTAGTAGCTTAAGAAAATAATCTCAAGCTTACTGATGACAAGTCACAAATTAAAATAGAACAAAGGCACAATAAATCGACCTATGAAAAACTTAAAGCACTGAATAATATTATATATCCTAAAGTAATCAAATATACAATACATGGTTTTCACTATAAATTCAACATTCATTCTTGTTAATTTTGCAAAAGTAATTCAGTCAAATGCAGTAAATTACTTTCTTTCTGATGTGTGATTAACATTATTGACACACATGGCGACAGCAGCTTTATTAGCAGCGTCTGTCACTTTGAGACCTCAGAGTCGGATTCAAGTGCGCTGTGCAAAACCGTCAAAACCAGCATTTACAAAATAAATTCTCCCGCTGCTCACTGTGCCTGAGCAGTTTGAAATAATTTGTAATTTTGTATCCAAACCACAACGTTTAAAAACGCGTTTAAATGATAAACTTACATCATGATGGCGCAGCAAAATTTAAATATTTCTACCGGATATATTATCGCCAGTCCTTTAGGCGAATATAGAGTTTAATCAAACACAAAAAGCAAAATTATACATCCATCAAGTTAATATTCAAACTTACCGAAAGTTTGTGGGGTCGATGATGACGCTGTGTTTTAAAAATAGACTAGATTAGAATGAAGAGAAGAGTAAAGGCGATTTATTGGTTGATGTATAGCCTATTCTAATAAGGCGCAGGCAGCAATCATCTATAGGTCTACGTGCAGCAGCAGGTCGGTCGTTCACAAGTTAAATATAGAATAAAGATATTTGTCATATCAAATTAAAACCTGACGTTTCAATTTACCATGGTTTGATTGACAGGTGGCCTGGCCAATCATAACGCCGAATACGCAACTTTGTCCGACAACAAAGCTGTCAGTCGGTGGACATGAACTTGAAAACGGTAATGTTTAAATTACTTAAATGACAATATTTGAAAGTTGAGACTTTGTTTCATATCAACAGTAAGCTACTCTGAACTCTCTCTCGTAATCACTCGGTGTAACGTTAGTCTTTGCCCCGCAAAGTATTTTTCACTGCGTGAGTGCATGAGAACATGATGTGCGTGATGACTCGTGAGAGCCGCCTGGCTCGTGGCCCGTCACATAGTACCTAAAAAAGGCGGGTCTTTGCGAACGTCTCTATTAATGATAATGATTCCATGATAATGCATGGAATATAAGGCAAAGTGCAACTAAATAACAGGGATAATTTGTGGGGGACGTTGCGTGGTAAGGCTTTGGTAATTAGATGGCTTGCAGTATCTGCTCCACAGCCAATCACGGGCCCCCTCCTTGCTTGGGCCCCGGGGCTTAAGCCCCGCCTAGCCCTATGGTTAATGCGGCCGTGGACGTGATTATGGATGTCAAAAATTCTGCGTGTCACTGTGCGACGGGACAAGGAGACAGTTTCAAAGTTTTTAGCCATATCCTCGTCTCCAAATGATTTGGCCATTTCCATTGCACACCTCTTCACCATTTCACCATCTGACAAGGGCTTCTTGGCTTTAGCAAGCTCCAGCGCCACAGAGTAAGATGCCTTTAGCGCAGACTCCTGTGTAGATGTAAATCTTGTAAAAATACTCTGTTGTTGGTTGAGCTTTGCTTTCAGGTCGGTTATAATAGCGGCCCTAGCAGCTCCGGTGTACTTTCCATATTTTTCCCTGTGTGTTGTATTGTAATGGCGACTTAAGTTGAAATCTTTAAAAACGGATCTTGTTTCCAAACACACTAAACACATAGGTCTACCTTTGAATTCTGTAAACAGATAGTCTGTTTCCCATCTCGCCTGAAAAGTACGATTTTCTTCGTTCAGTTTTCTTTTTTTCCCGCTCATGGTTCTCTTCATCGTTGACTGTAGTGACGCTGGTCAGAGTCGTCCGACTAAGCATGTTTTGTATGAAGGCGCCCTCTATCGGTATACTTTATCATTACATTTGGAATTGGTTCAGATGCGCAATCCGTTCTCACGCGATAAAACCTGTGAAACCAACATTTCCATGGTATTTGAAAATTCACCCGCGGGCCGCACTGAGTGAGGAGGCGGGCCACATGCGGCCCGCCAGTTGCCCATCCCTGCCATAGACTTATACGACGCTGGCGCTTCCTCCAACTCCCTCATCTCTCCCACTTGCCATTTCTCCGCGTGCCGTGACCTGCAGCGCTCCATACTCCACTTTTACTGGCTTGTTTATTAACTTGAACCGGCGCTGCACAGAGCGATCGGTAATGACATCAAATACCGCGAAAGTGATGAATGCATACGGAGCCGACTCGCGCAGATTGATGTTATAGACCTTATTCAGAGCCGCGCCATGACAGGTATGAAGTGAGGCTGTGAGGGATAGACTTACCATGTTTCCAATGGCATCCGCTGTAAAAAGCTGAATAAAGCTCCTAGATTACTTACAATTTTCCACAGCTTACATTGTCGGGAGTTTTTTGTCAACTGAAATGTCTTGGAAGGATATTTTTCCAGTGTTTCATAAGCAGAACAATCCGAAAACACGTTAAATAACAGTACAGCCCATTGAAGAGATGCATGTCTATCCCTCACAGCCTCGCTTTCATTCTCATTAAAAATCAAAGATGGCGCTGCCGTGAATAAGGCGTATTCACCGATCGCTCTGTGCAGCGCCGGTCCAAGTCGAACAAGTTTATGTCGCACGAAAAGAAACACATGCACGTCACATACGGGCACGAGGTTACATTGCGCATGCGTCGAACCGTGAGACGCACACGCGCTCCGAACCGAGACAAGCGAACCGAACGGTTCGGGTGTTTTTTCATGTACCGTGCCACCCCTAATATATATATATATATATATATATATATATATATATATAATTGACACACACACTGATTGTGCTGCTAAGAATTAGGTACATCTGGCATTTAAATTAAAATACTGGCCATGAAAATATTACAGGCACATGCTGGTAATGGTAGGTTGTTTACAGCTGTGATGCTTGATAGTTATACTTCTCATTACACTATCATTGTCAACAAGCAATTGCAACATGCACCTAGCCCTGTCTGGCTTTGCTAATTTTAAACAATAATATTTTAGTAGATATCAATGAGGCTTATGTGATATTACATTAACTACAGATAACATGTTAATGAGATCAAATCAATATGTTATTTTCAGTCAGACAGGGAAAGGTACATTGTTGATATGAAGTCACAATGAACTCTAAGCTCCTGTATGTTGTGGTGCCTCATTTTTTCTGCACCGAGGGAAAATACCTATAGCCCTCACAAATATGTGTGATGGGCTCCTATTAACTGCAATTAAAGACATGTTAACTGTTAAATAAAATCTAACATAGTAACTTACACAGTCAACAACTCCATATTACAGCTTAGCTTACTAAGGTCGATTGACGCTCTAGAGCGTCAAAAGGCACACCCCTTACATATCTATTAATAACTTCGGATTGGATGACGGTATTAACTTACTTTTTTTTTCATGAAAAAGCTGACATTCGTCTGCATAAACTGTGTCGACTTCCGGAAATTATAAGCCTTCTGTATATTAGTGCAAATCTATTGCATTTAACCGAAAAACGAAGAAATATTGCTTTATTCTGGTCTAATGATATGCAACGCTGTTGGTGTGTGTGAAGCAATCACAAACCTGTGTGTGAACCAATCACAGACCATAAACAAAAAGTGACGTTCTCATATGCTCTAGGAACGTAAAAGGGGAGGGGATCCGGAATCAGCAGGTCCAGGTGTGTGTGTGTGATAGCGGACGCAACTTGTTATTCACTGTCTTTGGACGCGGACACTCACAGTTGGAAGTTATTCGATACAGTTTGTTAGCACTTTGCAATATTCTTTTCAAGAAAACCATGGCACAACCGAGATTCACTGCCGAGCAAGTTGCAGATATGCTTTTTGCCGACAGTGGTGATGATAGCGAAATCGGATCTGATCCCGATCGTTTTGATTCAGAGGAAGAAGATCAGATATTCCACGGAATCGATCCATTTGAGGAGTAAGTATGAATGATATTTTACTGATGATATATTGTATCGTTTTTAGTCAAATGACTTTATCATAGCTTTTCAGAAATAAGGGAGCAGTAATCAAACAGTGTGTGCCATGTGCGCAATCAATGAGCGCTGCGTAATCAAACAATGAGTGGCATGTGCGCAATCAAAAATTGAACGCCATGTGCGTGATCAAACAATGTGCGCGTTTTGTTTGCCCCATGTAATCAATTTTGTTTACTTTGGGTGTCTATTTTATTGTAATGTTTTTTTTTTTAGGAAAATGTTATTGTAGTTTTTCAGAAATAATGGTGCGTGAGTTATCTAAGGCCTGTACTATTTGTCGATGTGGGAGGGGGTTTGCTTTCGACATAGCAGCCATATCACCCTGTAGCCCAAGACTGGTTGCCCATTAAAGCTAAGCAGGGCTGAGCCTGGTTAGTACCTGGATGGGAGACCTTCTGAGAAAGCCAGGTTGCTGCTGGTAGAGGTGTTAGTGTGGCCAGCAGGGGGTGCTCACCCTG